TTTTTTAAAGATAGACTGTTGATTACTGCTTCTATTTCCTTAGGGGATATAGGACTATTCAGTCTTTCTACCTGATCTTGACTTAATTTTAGTAGATGGAATCTATCAAGAAAAATTGTCCATTTCTTTTAGATTTTTGAATTTTGTGGCGTATAGGCTTTTGTAGTACGACCTAATGATTGTTTGGATTTCCTCAGTGTCTGTAGTTATGTCTCCCTTTTCATTTCTGATTTTTCTGATTTGGATAGTTTCTCTCTAACTTTTAGTTAGTTTGGCTAAATGTTTGTGTTGATTTTCTCAAAGAACCAGCTCTTGGTTTCATTGATTCTTTGAATAGTTTTATTTGTTTCTAATTGATTGATTTCAGCCCTGAGTTTGATTATTTCCAGCTGTCTGCTCCTCTTGGGTGTATTTGCTTCTTTTTTTTCCTAGGGCTTTCAGTTGGGCCATTAAGTTGCATAAATTTGTGAGATGTCACAAATTTCTTCTTAAAGGCACTTAGTGCTATGAATTTTCCTGTGAGCACTGCTTTCATTATGTCCCATAAGTTAGGGTATATTGTACCTTCATTTTTATTGAATTCTAGGAAGTCTTTAATTTCTTTCCTTATTTCTTCCTTAACCCAGCTGTCATTGAGCAGCAAGTTGCTCAGTTTCCATGTGCTTGTAGGCTTTTTTTCTAATTTCATTGTTGTTGAGGTCCAGGTCAGATAGAATACAGGGGATTATTTCAATCTTCTTGTATCTGTTGAGGCTTGCTTTGTGAACAGCTATATCGTCTATTTTGGAAAAGGTTCCATGAGGTGCTGAAAAAAAGGTATACTCTTTTGAGTTTGGGTGGAAAGTTCTGTAGACGTCTATTAGGTCCATTTGATTTAGGACCTCTGTAAGTGCCTTTATTTCCTTATTAGGCTTCTGTCTAGATGATCTGTCCCTTGGTTAAAGTGGAGTGTTGAAGCCTCCCACTATTAAGGTATTAGAATCGATGTGTGATTTAGGTTTTAATAATGTTTCATTTATCAATGTAGGTGCTCTTGTATTTGGGGCATAAACGTTCAGAATTGTGATGTTCTCTTGGTGGATTTTTCCTTTGATGAGGATGTAGTGTCCCTCCTTATCTTTTTTGATTAACTTTGGTTGAAAGTCTATTTTATTAGATATTAGGATAGCTACCCCAGCTTGTTTTCTGGGACCGTTTGCTTGAAAGATATTTTTCTAGCCCTTTACTCTGAGGTAGTGTTTATCTTTGTTGCAGAGGTGTGTTTCTTGAATGCAACAGAATGTTGGATCCTATTTCAGCACCCATTCTGTTAGTCTGTGTCTTTTTATTGAAGAGTTGAGTCCATTGATGTTGAACTTGGAGAAAAGATCAGGAACCGCAAAGGTAAGCGTCACCAACAGAATACAAGAGATGGAAGAGAGAATCTCTGGAGCTGAAAATACACTTGCAGAAATTGATATTTCTCTCAAAGAAAAAGTAAAATCAGAAAAGTCCCAAATACAAAATATCCAAGAAATCAAGGATGCCATGAAAAGACAAAAATCTAAGAATAATAGGAATAGAGAAAAAAGAAGATTTAAGGCTCCAAGGTCCACAAAATATTTTCAAGAAAATCATAGAAGAAAATTTTCTCAACTTAAAGAAAGAGATGTCCATAAATATACAAGAGGCCTACAGAACACCAAATAGACTAGACCAGAAAAGAAACACATCACCTCACATCATAGTCAAAACACTAAATCTATAGAACAAAGAAAAGATACTAAAAGCAATAAGGGAAAAAGGTCAAGTAACATATGAAGGTAGACCTATCAGAATCACACCGGACTTCTCATCAGAAACTATGAAAGCTAGAAGGGCCTGGGCAGTGTCATGCAGACTCTAAGAGACCACAGATGCCAACCCAGACTACTATACCCTGCAAAGCTTTCAATCAACATAGATGGAGAAAACAAAACATTACATGACAAAACTAAATTTATGCAATATCTACACAGCAAACCAGCCCTACAGAGGATACTAGAAGAAAAACTCTAATCCAATGAAAACAACTTCACCCAAGAAAACATAGCATACAGATAATATCGCAACAAAAATTAAAAGAAAACAAGCAATGAAACACAGTAAGACCACCAAATCCAATATAAAAGGAACTAATGCTCATTGGAAATGGATGTATTTCAACAATTGAATAGAAAGAGAAAATGTGATTCAGATACATAATGTGGTTCTCATGCATAAAGTAGAATGGTGTAGTATTATTTGCAAAAAAATAGATGTTAAGTAAAACATGTTTAAGGTAGACAAAAATTCATGGTTTTTTTTCTCATATGCAGAATCTAGATTCAAATATAATACATATTATATAAATATATACACACATAGGACATGAAAGCACTATGGAAACCATGACAGGGAAGAAAAAGATCTAAAGGAAGGAGGAAGGGAAGGACAAGAGAAGGTAATGAAATAAAGAAAGACAAAATATTGAATGTTTTCTCTTGTACAAAATAATTATTTAACATACATACTCTCTTGAGTGGAGGTGGTACAAGGGGGAACTGAGATCAGCAAAAGGAAGATACAATGTTAAATATGTTTCTTACAGTGAAACCCATTATTTTGTATTTTAACTAAAAATTTACATTAAAAAAGACACAACCACAAATCTGAGAGCTGACTGGATGCCAGATGCCAGGTATAAATTATAGTAATTCTAAAAGATGCAGGAAATTATTTGGTCAGTCTTAGGGCTGGCATTCTCGAGTACCAAGTGATAGAGTTTTGATGGAACTTTATACCATTGTAAACTGAATCTGGCTTTGAGCCCACCAGTCCCCAAGCAGTGTGAGAATGGATGTCCTCACACTGGGCTACATTCCATAGTGGCTTTAGAATAGAGAGTACTGTTAGAAGGGAAGGATTAGGAGGGGGCTATTTAAAAGAAGATGTAGAAGACCTAAACTACTGCTTTGTCTTATGAGGAAAACAAAAAATGCTAGTGTCTTATCACAGAAGGACACAGATACCTTGATTCCCACCATACTTCCATTTAATAGTCAAATGTGGCTGTTAAGGCAAACTAGTCAAAATAAAACAAGAGAACTGTTCTTACTCTTAGAGAAAAGTGGATAGTGCAACTGAATCCAAGGCTGGCTTAACTGTATGCTTGTTTACATTGCTTTTCTTGATAAAGTATATGGTTACAGTTATGGTGGTTGGTGCTCACTTAATCTAAGTGAGCAGTGGAAAACTTTTTCTTAACATGTCAGGCATTAAATATTTCAGAGTTTCAAGTCAGGTGGTTTCTGTTATTATTACTGACCTCTGTGATTATGATGAGAAAACAACTGTAGATGAGGTATCAATGAAGGGGCAGAGCGTATCCTCACAAAGGTTCTTATGGGGCTAGAGTTTGTGGGCCTCTAATAGGGAATTCTTTTTTAATGCATTGGGTGTTTGTAGAAGGCCACCTGAAAAAGCAGCTTGCTTTCTACTGCTGGGAAAGACTTTTCTTGTTTTTCCTTTCCTTTTCTTTTTTTTTCTTCTTTCCTTCCTTTCTTCTTTCCTTCCTTCCTTCTTTCTTTCCTTTCTCCCTCTCTACCTCCCTCCTATGCTTCCTTCTTTCTTCCCTCACTCCTTTCCTTTCCATCTGTAATTTCACTGAATTCGGGGCCTTGCACATACTAAGCAGCTTTTCTGCTACCAGGCTACATCTATAGCTCTGGAGAGTACTTTGCTGTCTTGTGGCAGGACTAAGATATTTTGGATGATTTACATCATTCAGGTCTGCAGAGACCTCACTATTTCAACATCCAATAGGATGCTGTCTTGGGTCACATTGTTCTCAGGACTTTGCTGAGTGAATCTGGGAAGAAGTAAAAAAAAAAAAAAAAAAATCCTGAATGTGTTGATGAATACATGGCTGACAATGTCAAATCCAGAGGAAATACCAGCCCCCTATTTTAGGGATGATAATAAGTTCTGATGATTTAGGGCCTTAGAAGACTCTCTTAGGCCTCTCAAAGCTAAGGACTGGAGATGGAATAGTGTAATCCATGGTTGCATAACAATGTTTATAAGCATTGGTTTAAAACAACCGTATTTATTTGATTTCTTTTCTATTGTTCTTATGGGCTGTCCCTGAGCAGAGCTGTGAATGATAATCTACAAGAAGCTGACAAAGAGGCATAGGGCTAGAGAGATGGCCTAGTGGTTAAGATCACTGCTCTTGGAAAGGTCCTGAGTTCAATTCCTAGCAACCACATGGTGGCTCACAACCATCTATACTGGAATTTGGTGCCCTCTTCTGGCATGCAGGTATACATGCAGAAAGAGTATTCATCTACATAAAATAAATAAATAAATGAATAAATCTTAAAAAAAAAAAAAAAGAAGAAGCTGACAAAGGCAAAGAACACAGCTCTTAGTCTAGGAAAGAATGAGTACATCCTCAGGCAGATCATTCCGGTAAACTTTCTGTAAACATATGAACCTGAGGATGGCAGGATGTTGGGATCAAGGCTAAAGTTGGCTGGCATGAACAGTCTTCCGGAGTGCCTACACAAGCTTTATTAATTTAATTCTATATGTACTATTTTCCTCTATGAGTCTTGATGTTTGACTTGTTTTGTTTTGTTTTGTAAAGTAGGTCAGAAGGTTGTCAGTCCATAACAAACAATTGAGTGTTATGGTAACCTGGTGACCCATATAAAGTCAAATAGTCTTCCTGGAGTCTAGTAACACCCTAAGAATTCTTTCTTCTGGAAGGGAGCCTAGTATTATTCCACCTTCAGGCATGCAATGGAATTTAAAGCTAGGATCTGGCATCACGGCCCATGTCTAACCATTGTGTAATATTGTCATTTTTAGAAAAATGTCTACAAGGAGATAAAAGAAAAATTAGTGGTCATAAAATTAGATGGTTTAAAATTTTTGACTAAGAAGCTTGAAATATCAAAAATAATTTTGGCAAGGGTGTTGTCAGAAAGTGTGGCAGCCTTTTGGAGTTAATGACAAATTTGGAGTTAATGGCATCTGAGCAGTGGAATTCGGCCTCTTGGCTTTGGCTATTTTCCAAAGTCCAGTTTCTCATAAACTGACCTTGGTGTTCCTACAGCAGACTGCTCTGATCCCGAGAAACTCTGTGCAACCATAGTAACCAGACAGCAGGCTCTGTGTAACCTTGAGTGAGCTCTCCTATGTTTTGACCAAGTAAAGCTCCTACGTGCTTGTACTTTTTTGCCTACTTAAGTGTTAACCTGACGCCCATTAAATCGACACCTGGATCAGCATGTAGACTTGGTGTCCTCTGTGTCGCCCTGTCTCTCTCTCTCCCAGCCCTCTCTCAGGTAGTATTCAGGTGTCACTGCCGGCCAGTGACAGATGGAGCAGAAACCCCGGGAACCTGAGACAGAGGACCAGCTGAGGCAAGTTATATGGACCACAGGAGCGCGCGCAAAGCAACTGACTAAGGTAAAGTTGGGTGGCCGCCAGGGGCAGGGAACTAGTAAGATGGGATCTATCAGATCCCTTAAATATATTTTTAAGACACAGAGAATTAGAATAAAACTCCCTAATCCCTTTACTTTGTAAAACTAAAGAGTTGCTTGGAAAAATTAAAGCAGCCAAACAGGCAAAAAAAAAAAAAAAAAAAAAAAACAAACAAACAAACAAACAAACAAAAAAAACGTACTTCTGTTATTTCAAATGTCCATAAAGGATCTCAAACAGATTTGTGTAATTTGAGAACAGAAAATAATTTAGGAGCTAGATAGTGAAGATGAAACGGAGTCAAAGAAAAAAGCTGCCAAGTCTCATAATTCAGACTGGCCTCCTGAGCCCTCCCCCCGACCCCCATGGTTGTGGGTGGCACCGGATCACCTGCAGGAAGATGTAACTGTTCTCTGAGAGAAAATTCAGTTAAAAAGAGAATAGGTTCAATTATTAAATATTTATAATAATAATAGTAATGAATAATAATAATTTTAATATAACACAAAGGAGAGTATTCACTCAGAGTGGACTTCCTTTTGTGCAACAGTTGGCTTTTGAGAATGTTAATTCAGCCTGTAAAACAGCTATCAGGCCCTATCGAACTAAAGCAAACTTAACTGGTTATATTACACTTTGTGCTGATATTGGGCCGCTCTTGACTATCATACTTAAAATTACGGCTAAATCCAGTAAAAAGAGTTTTATTTGTCTGTTTAAATATATGGTCATCTTAAACGGTTAATATATATCTAGGTTATAGATCAAAAGTAATTAAATATATTTTTAAAGTTGTATTCAAACTGTAGTTTAATATATATATATATATATATATATATATATATATGTTTATGAGGTCTGTAAACACATATGTTTAAAAGGCAACCATATGATATAATTCTGTCATCTTTGCTATATGATATGGGTTAAAAATTATTATAAAACCTCTTAGTTAACACAAACTTTGTTTCCTTTTAGACTGAAAAGACAAGTCTCATTTTAAATTGGTGTTGGTTTTAAAAAATTGGATTGTTTGCACTGGTAAATTTTGAAGTTTGGTTTTAACTTTTAAAATTATCATGCTTTATGATTTCACTCCTAAAGAGGATGCTTTGTTTTAATATTGCAAAAACAGGTTTAAAAAATATATATTTAAATGTTTAAAAAGCAGGTATCGTGGTTGTTTCTTGTCTTTGTCTTTGTTTTTTTGTTTGTTTGTTTGTTTGTTTTTGTCTGCCGGCTGCATGTTTTGGTTTCTGGTTTCGGTTTGCTCTCGAGGTCTGGGGAAGCTCGGAGAGTTTCCAATTTGGTCGAGGGAATCTGGAGGACGCTCCAGTTCCTGGAGAGGGGGCCCATGAGGGGGTCCACTCCTTCTGGAATCTGTGGGACTTGTGTCTGGTAGGGGCCGGTCAAGTCCTGGTATTTGGGTATTCTGGTTACTCCAAGGTGGCAATGTCGGATTTCTATGTTCCTTATGTATGTATATGTGTGTATGTTTACCTCTGTATGTATGTTTATCTGTAGACCTGGACTAACGATACTAATATTTTTGGACATGAGACAGTTTAAATCAGCACCTCTGAGTTTAGTCCTGGACCATCGGAGTTAAATTCTATAAAACATTTTAAAATTTATCAGGTATTTTAAAATAATAACCATTGGGCAGTCTAACAAAGAACTTGAAACAGTTTCTCAACCCTTTGGGGGAGGTCAAAAGACCTTGGTATTTATTTTATTAATTTTACAAAGTAAAAATCAAGCCATGCTGTTTGAGCCAATTAAAAAAAAAACTCCAGTTATTACAATGTGTTATATCAGGAAAAAAAAACTATAAAATATGTTGCTCATCATTTAAAAAGGCTGGAGATTCTTCAATGCAAAATGTTTGCTCATGCTCTTTTAAAGAAAAAAAAAAAAAAAAGGACTGCAGCTCCATATTAGCCCAGGATTATACAGGGTTATATTCAGATCATTGTTAACCATTATAGGGCATATAGTTTCCTCTAACTCACCATGGAACACGCCCATATTTATAATTAAAAAATCTAATAAATTTAAATTATTACAAGATTTTTAAAAATGAGACTATAATAATTATGAAAACATTGCAACCAGGACTCCCATCACCTAGTAGGATTTCTCAAAACACTTACAAGATTATTTTAGATTTAAAAGACTGTTTTTTTTTTCCATTCCTTTGCATCCTGAGGATTGCCATAGATTTGCTTTTAGTCTCCCTTCTATTATTTTAAGAAACCTATGAAACGTTATCATTGGAGTATGCTGCTACAGAGCATGGCAAATAGTTCTACTTTATGTCAACAATTTGTAGCTAATGCTATTAGTCCAGTACGGAAAAAAATGGCCTTCTATTTATATCATTCATTATATGGGTGATATTTTATTAGCCTCTCCCATAGCTCAAGATGTTATGGCTTGCTATACAGATCTATTTAAGGCTTTGTCCCAAGTAGGTTTAAAAATTACTCCAAAAAAGGTACAAACTAGAGATCCTTATATTTATTTAGGTTTTAATTTATTTCCTCTGGCTATTAAACATCAGAAAGTACAAATTAAAAAAAATTTAAAGACTCTTAATGATTTTTAAAAATTATTGGGAGATATAAATTGGCTTAGGCCGTATCTAAAATTAACTACTGGACAACTTATGCCATTGTTTAATGTTCTTAATGGGGATTTAGTTCCTACCTCCTCCCAAAAATTGACTCCAGAGGCTCAAGATACATTATTAATAATAATAAAGGCTTTAAAAAATCAATTTGTAACACATTGGGATCCAGATAGTCCTCTCCTATTGCTTGTATTTCAAACACAGTCAACTCCTACTGGATTGTTATGGCAATCTAATCCTCTATTGTGGATCCCCTTGTCAGCTAGTCCCAATAAAGTTATTTTGCCTTATTATGAGGCTATTACCCACGTCATTGTGTTGGGATGCACCCAGGCAAGGGCTTACTTTGGAATTGAGCCTTCCAAGATTATTATACCATATTATACTAATTGGCTTTATGCCAATTCAGATAAATGGTTACTTTCTTTGGCTACAACTAGATAATCATTACCCTTCCAATAAGATTATTCAATTTTTACTTTACATAGGGTTGTTTTTCCTATCATAGTTAAAAATAAACCTTTAAAATGCTTGTTCCATTTTTTCTGATGGTAATGCTAAAGAAAAAGCTGGCTATACTGTTAGTAGACAAAAAGTTATTTTTCAAGTTCCAGGGTTATCTGCTCAACTTGCAAAATTGATGGCTATCCATGCAGTTTTACAACATTTTTCTGAGCCTTTTAATTTGTTTACTGATGGTGCTTATATTGCTCAAGATATTCCTAAGCTAAAACAGCAAGCCATATTCTTTCTACCACTTGGGCTAGTCAAATGTTTGCTCAGATTCAAGGACTTATTCAGGCTCATCATAATCCTTTTGCTATTATTCATGTTAGAGCCCATTCTGGTCATCCTGGACCTCTTGCTTTAGGTAACCAGACTATTGATAAAGCCTTAATAACCTTAGCTCAAGAAACACCTATACAAAAATCTCAATTGGCCCATAAATTACATCATCTTAATAGTCACTCCTTACATTTAACTTATGGCCTTACCAAAAAACAAGCCAAAAAAAATTATAACAATTGTGATGTTTTCTGTCCAGTACCTATCTTGGGGTTAACCCCCGAGAGCTGACCCCAGGTCAGCTATAGCAAATGGATGTGACTCATTCTATAAAATTTAAAAAATTAAAATTTATTCATGTAACAATTAATACCTGTACAAGATTTATTTTTGCTACCTTGCATTCTAGAGAAGCTGCATGCCATATTATAGATCATTGTTTGGATACATTTGCTGTTCTTGGCATGCCACACAAAATTAAGACTGATAATGGAACAGCTTATACCAACAAGCCCTTTCAATTTTTTTGTAAAAAATTAAATATTAAGCATGTAACAGGTATTCCTTATAATCCTATGGGCCAAGGCATGGTTAAACATGCCCATGCCACCATTAAGATATATTTACAAAAGACAAAAAAGGGGGAATTATGTCCTCCTTGTTCATCCAGAGCTCAATTTAAGTTTTTTAACTTTGAACAAACATGACAAATCTGCAGCTAACCATTTTTGGCACCCTAAAATGGAAGGACCCCTTGAATAATACATGTCATGGACCCGACCCCATTTTAATTTGGGGGTGAGGATATGTTTGTGTTTTTTTGCAGGTTAAAGATGCTGCTTGGTGGCTGCCAGAGAGACTGGTGCAACAAGTGGATTACTTCAAGGAACAAGATCATTCTCCAAGTGACAATATTGCTGATCCTGCTGCAGCTGATTCATCCAGTGAAGGCTAAATTACACTTTTAGGCCTTAGTACCCAATCCCCTCTTGTTCTCCCTGTACATGTTAGCACACCTTTGTTTAGCTGGTCTGGTACTATTCATCTTTGTCATTGCCAGATGTGTTCACTTAGCTCAACAGCACCAAGCTAGATTTAATGCCATTGAAACAGCAGCATGCTGTGACTCCCTCCCCCCAAGTAGGGGCTTGGCTTGCCCAGCTCAAACGTTAGCTTTAACCTCTCCTTTTCTGTGTGATGAGCCGGTTAGTCAATGACCGGTTCTGGGTGATCGAATATTTATCAACCTAAGACACGAAAATCCCCCTATAAGTGGGATTCGCCCATGACGAGTAAAATATTTATTGGGAATCACCCCCACCTAAGACAGGCACGGTCCCTTTGTTTTAATTTGAAAGGGAGGAATTGTGGCAGCCTTTTGGAGTTAATGACAAATTTGGAGTTAATGGCATCTGAGCAGTGGAATTCGGCCTCTTGGCTTTGGCTATTTTCCAAAGTCCAGTTTCTCATAAACTGACCTTGGTGTTCCTACAGCAGACTGCTCTGATCCCGAGAAACTCTGTGCAACCATAGTAACCAGGCTCTGTGTAACCTTGAGTGAGCTCTCTTATGTTTTGACCAAGTAAAGCTCCTACGTGCTTGTACTTTTTTGCCTACTTAAGTGTTAACCTGACGTCCATTAAATCAACACCTGAATCAGCATGTAGACTTGGTGTCCTTCTCTGTGTCACCCTGTCTCTCTTTCTCCCAGCCCTCTCTCAGGTGGTATTCAGGTGTCACTGCTGGCCAGTGACAAGAAAGCAGTAGGAGGAGTACTTCAGGGAAAGTCTCCAGAACAGAACATAGTCAAAGGTCTTCATAATGAATAGGCTCCTGATGCCTGGCAAGTACAATGAGCATTGAGCTAGCTCCCTCAGAACTGGTAAAAGCTGTTAAGAGAAAAAGACAGACATTAGAAGACATAGTCAGAGATATATCACTGGATTTTTCAATACTACTTTGGATGGTAAAGGATGGCAACATGGCATCCTCTGAGAGTAACAGTGTTACTCTCAGAGCCAAATTATTAGAATTATGAACAGACCATGAATGTATATACAATGTAAGGATTTCAAATTTACCTCCAAATTATATTTTCTCTGGAAGAGACAAAATATATACTTCAGCAGAATAGAGGTCATGTTTTTTGTTGCTGTTGTTATTACTTTGTTTTTCCAAACATAAGGGTGGCAAAGGGGCATCCAAGGCTTCTGAACAACCAGTCAGGGAAAACAAGAAAGTAGAAATTTTGAGTATTTTGAAAGGTTGTTGTGGGTCCATGACAGATTAAACTAGAGAAATTTAGAAATTTTGTGGTAAATATGAAAATAGAAGCTAATTAAATATGAGGGAAAGTCTACCATTAAAGAACGTGAAACAGCAAGTCAAAGAGCTTGATATTTATGCAGTTGCAATAGCATGAACTAAAATTAGTGATTAACCAGAAACTGTCAAATAACAGTATTGAGAGGATGTGGGGAAGGGTAGGAAGTATGATGAGTTTAACACTACAAGGACAGGAAGTCAATAAGTACTGGTTAAAGTGAACCTCACTATTATTTACCACATTTGGCATACACCAGAACAGCAGTAGATAAACAGAAAAGTGGCTGCCTAGCAGAGTAGGCAGGTAGAGAACAGCTGTCGTTCTTTAAAATTTCTTTCTTAAGCAGTATTATCATTTTTATAGAGAACAACTTTAAAATATTATGTTATCATATCAGGGAATAAAAGCAAAAGGGAAATAACAGTAGGAGAGAGTGGTGACAAGTAGAATTCTTTACTGCATAGAATACCCTGGAAGTTACGAGATGGGAAAACCCAAACAAAGAACAAGCTTTGTTCAGTGTATCACCAAAGTAATACTAGGTTATTAAAACAATATTAGAGGACAGCTCACTACATAGGTGAGGCAAATGCTTAGTGGCTCAATGTTAGCTAAAAAATACAAACAAACCACCTGGTCACAGCAGAGATTTGCCTTCATTATAAAGAAAAATTGCTAGGAAGTAAGGATACTCTGAAGATTTATTTTAAAATGTACTTTTGAGTTGTAAATATATCATTGACAGTGAATACTCTGAGTTTTACATTTGATATCACAGTTAAGACACAATCACTCATCTACTCTGCCAATATTTGACATTCTCTGTGGTCACTTTTTGGCAAGTGAAGGGTGCTAAGAAGTCCTTTGTTTCCAACTGAGGTTGGTTGGGAGTTAGATTTGGTGTTTGCTGTATCATAGGTACATGTTCATGGTGAAACTGTTAAAAAGTTATTACACTTTATCTCTGTGATCATCAGCTAAGGTAACAGGTTCTCTGTTCTTCAGCTCCTGGAATTAAAGATAGCATCACTTGTGATGATGCAACCTCATTGGGCACAGCCTGAAGAAGATTTTGGGGTATTTTTAGAGATTTTTGGGTCATGTTATGGCACCATGACCAATTGTTGGCCTCCCCACTGGGATCCAGTTAGCCTCATATACCTGATATTCAAAGATACCCAGCCTAGGCCTGGTTCGTGCCTCATACAGCCTGTCTCAGGACTCCTCAACACTTCTCACCCACAGAGCTGGCCTTTCTGAGGAATGGCTGTTCAGTAGGGCAAAGCTTTTCTTAGAAGGAAGAAAGAGCTGATGGAGAAATGTTTACCCTCCATGCACCCTCTAGGTCCTGAGAAGCACCTCATAGCTTGTTAGCAAGTCTGGAGAGATATCACAAGGTGCATCTCTGGCTTGTTTTCCTTTATTGTTTTATTTCCCTGCCTTTTACCTTTGCTACCTGAGGATTATAATCCTGATGGATTCTGGGCATGAACCTCCACTGGGTATATGCCTTCTTGTGAACCAAACCCATTTCTAATACATTTACATATACTTGAGTTTCCAAAATCATTTCTGAGTAAAGTTTGTTCTCAAGCCTTGAATCTAATAATTGATCAGGCAGCAATGTGGTTAACATTATTATTATTATTACATTATTGTTACTATTACTATTTATTACATTATTATTTCTCTTATTACACAATGCACAGTTACATTTTGCTTACAACAAAAGATTCTGCCATATTCTGCCAAGTTGTTCCCACCAACTGATAACACAGATGAAGATTAGAACAAAACATTGCAACTTTGAGACCCCTGCATTAGTCACAGTTTTACTTTGTGTTTCCTAATAGACGTGACAATTGCATAATATTTTATTTTGTTGTTTTTCCACTTAGTGACTATTTCTTCTTTAGATTCATTATGTCTCTACTTGAGACCCATATGTCTTACCACCAGCAGAGAAGTCGGGCATTATAAAATTGGTGTTATTCCAGCATGCTGTCACACAAATAGCACAAGGAGATACCCAGTTGTTTTTTAATATCTAGATGTCAGGTGCATGACAGAAAACAGGTACACTCAGCATTTCTAGTAAACACTGATGTCTCATGACTCAGAGTCAAATGTTTCCCATATGGATCATTAAACCTGTAATTCATAGCCTGAACATAACTCAAAGTCTGACTTCTGAAGATTATTGGCAACTCTGGCAATGTTTTTGACAGAATTTTCACTGAAATTTTAGCTTCTATGTTCTAAGTTGTCTTTTAAAAGCAAAGATTGTATCTGTAAAATATTCTATAAACTTGTTTCAAAGTTTAATTTGTGACATAAAATATATTTTAGGATTTCCTCTTCTCTGGCCCCTTACTTCTTTATACATATTATTACTATACTGAGTTTTTATATTCCTATATATTTATTTTGTTATGGTAGAAATCAAACTAAGAGCTTTAAATACACTAGGCAAGGACTCCACCATGTGTTGTCTCTTAGCATTTTCTACCTTAACTTCAAACTTATTTCTAATTATTTTACCATTCGAAAAATCCCATTTTGTACATAAAATTAACATCTTATCATTACTGTTGCAGCATTTTGTCTTACAGTTTTAAATATATATTTATAGTTTAATGGTTAATTGATTTTAAACATGTGAGGAACAAAGAGGGATTTTCACTTATGTTACACATAAATGTTTAGTTATATTTGGAATTGCTCATTTAACATTATAATAAGCCTGCACTTATGTTTTATGTGCTTATATGATGACAACCTTCACAATCACAGGGCTCCTGATATCACAAAAGTTTAAAAATCTCAAAGAGACATTGATGTAGGCACCTGGATATTTGGTTTTCCAAAAGGCAAGGTCAACACTAAAGCCCAAACCAGATGCTTTCAACTACCAATCCCATTTTGCATGGTGCCAAATTCATACATAAACTATTGCTAAGCTAGATACTTGTCACTGTTATTTTGTACTTTATGATTTATGAAGAATTAAAACAGAAAAAAAGAAAGCAGCAGCTGTGTACTTAATTCAAAGAATGTAGGTATTTCTGAGAGTCTTATTAGAAACTTGATGGCACACTGCTATTACATTTTTTATGTGTCTAAAATATCGATAGACTATTTTAGAAAATTATACAAGTGTCTAGCCAAGTTGCGCTCTGAAACAAAATCTTAAAGGTTGAGATGATCTAGTCTCCACAGTGGGAAACATAGATTGGGGATTCTGAGATAGAAATGGAAGGAGGGATGCAGAGGAGGTTGGCCAATTTGGGTTTATATCTGACAATCCACTGTCTTCCTGTCCATACATCCCTAGGATCTTCTAATTTAAGGATTGTGTCCAAATGAAAATACTTCTCTAAGTGAACCTAAAATGTGCTACTTAATTGAAAACAGAGTGTACCACCAATCCCCATCAGTTTCTTAGACAGCAAGATGATGGTTCTAGGAAAGTACATATAATAATTTTGGAAGTAAGATCCATTTATATAAGATCATTCAAAAGCAAGCGTTAGCGGAAACTGCTACAGTCCTACACACAGAGATGGCTAAAGAATGACAGATTGGGCCATTTTCCAAAGATGCCACCCAGGATAATGGTAGCCAAAAGAAAGGGAAACATTATATGAGTAATGGAGATGTCTGAAATACTGCTTGCACAAATGAGTATTCCTGTTTCTCCCAGTACTTATCTTGTCTCTTGTTATTTTTTTTTATTGTTGTGAATGAAACCTATTGGTAAAATTTCCCTTTTGTTCACTGGTTGCAGGTGACCAATTTTGGCTCACCCCCTCTACATATGATTCACTTGTAGGAAGACTTATGGAATATATGAAAGTCAATAGCCACAATGAAAGAACTCAGAAAGTTGTATAAGAAAAAAACATTTTATTATAGCATGCTTTCAATATTTTTGTATGAAAAGTAGGCAAGAGAAACATTAATATAAAAAGTAATCATTTGGAGGTTTGCAAGGGGGAAAGACTGGCAGTAAGATGACCAACAGTATATGTTATAGAGCTCTTACAATTTTGAAGAAGGTAAGTAACTACATAGGCTGCTATGAAAAATCATGCTTTTGAGTAAGAAATCAAGTTTCTTGCCACAGATAGTTGGCATCCTTTAGAATGGCACCTCTAGTAAGGCAAGTTATGAGAGATTGATTAGAATATAACTTTGCTCCAGCACACTTTTTTAAATGACATAAAGGGAAAACAAATATGTGTTTTTTTAAAAAAGCTTATCACTATCTACACTACTTGACCACCTAATTCAGTGTTATATTTGCAGAGCTATCTTTGTAGTGGAGGAAAGACAAACTG